CCCCAGGTGAGGAGTTTACCACCGGAGAGAAGGGGGTCTTCTTTGTTAGTATTGATACCGGCAGTGATGTTACTACCGTCTCCGAAGAGGTGTTTTGGATTATTTGGCGAGCTATCGAGAGTGAATTTGGTCGGGACCGGGTCGACGGAGCGGGGGCGAACTGGGCCGTTTTCGCTAGAAAGGAATTGGATGCGTTTATCGATCCCAACAAGCGCATTTGGTTCCGCAAGGACGTCATACAACGGTTGCCCGTATTGTCCATCCGAACAGATAGTACGTCCACTCTCGAGGTGCATCTGAGCCACCATGTGCAAACTTGCAAGAAACGATGGTGTTCCCTCGATATTCTTCATGAACCAAGGCATGTTTTACCCTCAAGTGTGTTGATCCTCGGCGCGCCTTTCTTCCTCGATTACGACGTTTGCTTTGACATCGATGGTGGTATGATCGGAATCACGAAACGAGCAGCGGGATCAGCAGTGAGAAAGACCACATCTCTTGATTCCTGGAACAAATTCCGATCGCCGGTGTGTAAACGAAAGATAAAACGTCAACCAGGGATAGCATGGCTAATCAACAGATGTATTGGAAAAGGAGAGTCGGATTAAATCTTCTATTTTTGGACGCTTTGTCAAGGTGTACTGACTATATCAATATCATGTCCGATGCTGTGGATTATTCCCTTCGTTTGGTTTGATAGCCATCAATAGTTATCAAATACCACTCCCATTAGCCACACAGGACTATGGAACAGGGCGCATTTTTGAGAGTTCCTAGTCTGCATCCAACTCAATAAGCATTGATCTCTAGACTAACAATACGAACACCAGGAAGGTACGTTACGCTGCATTGCAGCGGCTGCAATGCGCATCGTGAAGTACATATTCATGACGTCTGTTTGGTGACCAAACAGACGTCGGAAATGTGTACTTCACGATGCGCATTGCAGCCGCTGCAATGCAGCGTAACGTACCTTCCTGGTGTTCGTATTGTTAGTCTAGAGATCAATGCTTATTGAGTTGGATGCAGACTAGGAACTC